TAGTATCACAGTTTGGGATTTTGTGTCACATTTCTTCCTGCTAATTTGACCTGTTACTGGAGACACTTGCATGTTCTATGTTCCGAACTCCATTCAGGCACACAAATGTTGTCTAAGTTGCTAGAGCGGTTGAAATCTTTAGTATTTCTGGTTTAAACTGCAGCAGGAAAAGTTTCTCGAAGAAGTTTAACACTCAAAACCAATTTTGATCCAATTTTTTTTTTTTAAAAGAGAGAGAGTTAGAGCATGAATATATACACTGTTTTCAACTTAGTCATAAGGAACTAATTTCAGTGACTGAGAAACAAGATTGCTAAAGATCTTGAAAGAAATGCTCTGGATCCAAATCTGCCTAAAACTGAGCTCCCTGAATAGATTAGTAAAAGGCTTATTTATGCATTAATGTAAAGGGGTAGAAAGTCAATCTGTGGGAGCTTAAAGCAGATATTGAAAGAGCAGTTGCAAGAAATCTTAAGGTACACTAAATCAGTTGCAAAAAATATACATTTACGTTGACTGTCATTGTTTATGAAAACACAGAGAAAATATACCACTTTGTTTCAAATTTACAACACCTAGAACCATAAAGTCCTGAATTCTAAACAATGAAAGCCGTGGAGCTAATAGCTTGCTTCCCACAGAGAGGTGCTGGGGAAATCTCACTCACCTGCTCAATAAGAGCGCAGCGTGCAGCCGCCAGCTCGCTGCACGAGCAGGGCACACAAAGCCTGGTCCCTCAGTCACATCAGCATCCAGCTCTGCTTGGCATCCTGGAGCTCTGATCTGATGTATGGCCCTGTATCTCCAGGCCAAGGGCATGGGGAGGCTGAGCTCTGTACATCTATGAAAGCATTCATTTCATAGCTGTTATTTTAGAGTTTGCTGTTCTTTTTTTCTCACCAGTAGGTACCATAGAAAGGTATCTCCAGCACTATGGTACTTCCAATTACACTTTTTTTTTTTTTTCATACTGTTACAGACTGGAAGAATTCTTAAAGAAAGAAGTGGATTTAAAGCTTTCAACATTGCCAGACTTTGAAGAGCGGGTCATAGATTTCTCTGAAGTTGAACAACTAATGAACTCCATTAATACTATTCCAGGTACTCTTCCTATCTGATCATTATTTCAGACCTATTTACATTTAATTAAGGATATGTATTAAACAGAAGTCCATGAATTCTTTTAAAGGAGTATTGCAAAGGCAGAATTAGCTTCTCCCTAGTTTTCCCTCTAGATTTTTTTGTTTGCCTATATATACAGAGGCACTGGAAGCTATTTTTGGATATCTTTTTTTCATTTGTTTTCAGTATAAAATTACCAGAACTGCCAAGTTTAGTCTTCCCTGCTTCTTCTGGATAATTTCCTAGAAGACTCACAAAGCTTTCCCCCTTCTGTTGAGGGGTCACGCATGCTTAGTTGGTGATAACTTGTCTTACCTTGTAGTTGCTTGAACAAAATACAGAGGGACAGCAGACTGCTTTAAACAACCTGCACAGCTTCCCTCAGTAATGATATTTCAGTGTCTTGTTTCTCTGCTATTTAGCAAATGTTTTCCATAGGAAACAGAGTAAACCACAAACTTCTAATAATTAGAAAAATAAAAATATGAAAGATTTTAAACCTTTTCTGGAACACCACAAGTGGTCAGAAAGAATATGCTTTTTTTTTTTTTTTTTTTTTTAATGCCCATACATTCTATTTTCTTAAAGTAAAATAGCATTTGCTACTTGTTTGCTTGTGCTGCTGACCCCATGTTGGACAGCTTTTCCCTCATCTTTCCTCCAGGGGCTCCTCAGCCCCGGGGCTGGTCCGCAGCAGTGCACTGCGTGTCAGATGTTGTTCCTGCAGAGCCGTTCTAGCTCCTGGGGAACAGCAGCCCTCAAGAGGCAGGGGAGGTCAAGTTTACAGAGGAGAGTTAGGCTGAGCCTTATGTGTTTTGTTGTTTTGATTTTGGTTTAAAGCAAGACTAGTTTATACAGCAGTGACCAGATTATTATCTGCAACTATTTACAGGGTCAGCTCCTAACTTTTCACCCTGTAGGAGGAATATGACTCCATTCAATGCCCAGGCTTTGTGCAAGCACCTTTGTGAGAGGAGAGGTATTTGCCTGTGAACAACATACCATGCTTATACAGGAAAAAACTGACCTGTATTCCCCTCTGCAGCTCCTTGTGCCCCTGTGATCAATCCCCAGGCTCCCAACGCAGCAACTGGCACCTCACTGAGAGTTTGCTGGGGCCTCTTCTCAGATGACACTGTTGAGTGCTACCATCTGTGCTATAAACCAGTGAGCAACGAGAGGCACAGTGATGAACAAGCAGGTAAGGTGACCTGGAGCAAGGAGGCACCTCAGCCCTCCACTGGCAAAACCAGCTGGTTCCAAAGTGCCTCTGGACTTGCTGAGGCAACCAGTGCACTTTCTGTGCACTCTCTCCATCACCAAAACTGTCGTATCTGCCACCACGTTTCATGCTTCTGGCTTTGTCACGTGTCCCCTGCCAGGTCTGCCACGCTGCCAGCTGCAGCAAGACCCATCACAGAAGCAAAGACAGGACAGGAAAGCAGCTGGGATAGCAGGAGTGTGAAGGGGAGAGTGGATGGAGTCAGGTCTCAACAGAAGCATTTCCTTTCCTGGGGGGCGGGCTCTGCATTAGACACACATATGCTGCATCCACTGCAGAGCACAGTATTTTTAGAGAGCAAATCATCATATTACCGGCACACCCACTGAAACCCCCACAGTCATTTTACAATTTATCTCAGTGCTAATAATAGGCTGTAACTCCCCATCACCTACATGAACAAAAAAAGAACCACAGAACCATCCTAAAATGTCTCAGCCTTTGTGAAAAACTGCCTTTGCTAATAATATTCTTGCAGAACCTTTTACGGAAAACACCCAGTCACTTCAGCAAAAGTGGAAGCCAGTAGTGCCAAATGGCCAGTTCAGAAAGAAAAGCAGAACATGTCCAGATTTTATAAGATAAAGAATGAGAAATGAGTAGTAAAATAGCTTCCAGCTCTTGTCCCACTGCTGGGATGAGCTGACCAGACAGCATTCACAGAGCGGGAACGTGCAGCGTCTTTTTAGAAAAAATTCAGTGACAATTGGGTGACCTTTCTTTCTTTTTTTTTTTCCTGAGTGATGTGATTCCTTCGGAAGCTGATGCGTTATCTGATTTATGCCTCCTTAGAGGAAGGCATGGTGAAACAGCCTGACAGCTAATCAAAGGGTGTGGAGCACAAGGAGCTCTCTTGAACTCAGCACACAAAACAGTGTGCCTCAACTCCATTATTTGAGGCAGCTTTGGGGAAGAGTGGGTAACTATGTGAAGGCACTGTAAATGCTTTGTTGTTTCCATTTCAGAGCATACGCTGAAAGTCAAAGAAACATACTGCACCATTACTAATCTGTTGCCGAATACACAATATGAATTTTGGGTCAGTGCTTTAAATGCCTCTGGCATCAGTCCACCAAGTGAAAGAGCGGTATGTAACAGGTAAAAATATTTTATTCATACGACTATGTGACCTTCATAGTGAAATTCAGAGTAATCTCTGCATTTTATGCCAGTAATGCTTTCTGGGCACTTTGTTTCTTCTGATATAAGTCTACTGACTGCATGGGAATTTCCTAGTTTTATTTGTAGAGCCTATCAAGCCCGTTATCCCTGTTTTAGAGTTGAAGAAACAGAAGCACAGAGACAAAGTAACTTATTTAAATACAAGAATGTAGAAGAGCTGGGAGTAAGGCTCAAGTCTCCCAGTTCTGCCAGGCGGATGCCAGCCCTCCTTCTATTGGCCTGTAGGTATTTTGTGGATTCACCTGCTATGCTGCCCTTTGTAACAGCAGCTCAGTCAAGCACATTTTGTGAATCCTGACATCAAACTGAACAAGTCGGAGTGAGACCTTCAAGCACTCGTACCAGATGTCTTTGACATCTTAGCGCACAGATGCACCTTTACGACAAAGATGAAACCAATGATAGAAAACAGTTGTGTAATCAGTCTCTATCGATGTTACTTCTCTGATTCTCTTGGGACCGTTTTAGTCCAAGTTAAGTCTTTGAATAGTACTGTTAATTGCCCTGCCTGCTGTTTATTGTCCACTGGGGAAGCAGGTTTCTTTAACCATATAGTATTAGTAAACAACATTGTTCTATTTTTTTACTTCTTCAAAGCAGGTTTGTTGCAAACATCTTCAAGCAACAGCTTAGAATTGTTTTTTTGCCTACTTTTTAGCTCCTTCACCACCTACCATAAAGAGTAAAAAGATCCGCAGCTGTGAAAACGCAGCACTAGTGTGCTGGGAATCTAGAGATGTTAACCCTGTTGATTCCTACATGGTTGAATTGGCCAAGCTGACAGATGAAGAAAATGGAGATATTATTACTGAGTGAGTCCCTATTCTATCAAGTCCATGACCTGTAGAGATTAAACCATTTCAAGTCATGTTGCACCAGATAGCACTAAGAAACAGCCCTTTGGTGAATTCACCTTTATAAACATTCCTCTCAGCAAAATTAATTGTATAGATGATAATTGAAAAATGACTACACACGGTATGGGAAAAGGGCAGAAGCAAATGTAAAAATCTGCATAGTCTGTCACAGACTGTCTCTTGCCCCCACTGCTGACAACTGTACAAGGTAAAGTGCTGAGAGAAGCTGATCATGTAATTTCTTTTTTGTTGTTCGGAAAAAGAATCTCAAAGGCCTACCTTTGTTCTCTACACTATCATTTTCCATGGATTTATTTTCTGTAGATCTATTGTTGGGATTCCTAACTGTGAAGTCCTAATTCACCTCCAGCCAAGACAAAGCTATCACATCTGTGTCAGAGCTCTAAACCTGGGTGGTACCAGTGAAAGAAGTGAACCTGTCCTGATACACACCACAGGTACTGTACAGCTCGGAACAACTCCAGCACCCTATTGTAGCATCTATTATCTCAACAGAAAGATTCCTGCTAAATGGCCTCTGGATCAGGTCCTAATCTCTTGCATCTAATTACACACCTGGTAACCTTTTAGGAGTGAAAAAACCCCACTTTTTGTAACAATAACTGCACTGCTTTAGCTCTGTAATTTAAAATTATTTCTGTCCAGTACATTTGATACTTGAAAGTTACTAATTTCTAAACATTTTAAAAGACAATATCAACCCTACGCCCCTAGATGTTGCCAGCTTGCCAAGTACTGACATGCCAATGAAGAAAGTTATAGTGTGATTTTACTTTCCTTCAGAGATTACCTTGTAATGATGCTGCTGCTGGAAAGTATGGCTGAGACAGCACTTTCCAGAGTCAGTTGGATATGCAAAATCTTCCTCTGTATATATTAGAACATCTCCAGCTCTGCTGGGGAAGCTCTGAGGGCTGGTTCCCTTTATTCATCAGGAAAAAGGCAGTCCAGCTTTCAGCTGGAAGCTTTGCTTTTGGTAACTGACATAGCATCATCATCATCTCTGCTCTCAGTGCCACACTGGGCAAGGATTAACCTTGCCCCCCAAAGGGAAGTTGGAAGCCCTTTCCCCTCCCAACCATCTAATCAAAGCTCGTTTTAATGTCTTATAAGTAGACACCTGTTTTAATCTTGACCACTGCTATGATGATGCTGCAACTTCACTGGAGTGTCTCAAACCTCCCCCATCACTCAGAGACATTCACATCATACCTGTGTCTCTTCTGCCTTTACCTTCTGTGAGAGATTTGCAAACTGTGTTTATTCAGCAAGCTGACCACACACCCATTAATCTGTGACAGGCTACCTTTCAGTAAGAAACCTGTCTGCTACACATCAGTGACACCGCAGGGAAGAAATGGTCACTCTTCAGTCCCTGGAGAGGAAGGCTGTCATTGTGTCCCCACTGTTTGTGTGTATTTCAACTACTTAAATCAAACTCAATATTTCTCCTTGCACAGCGTGTGTTTGTTTTCAGCAGCACATGCCTGTAATAGCCCTGTCATTGTTTGTATTGTATTTGCATTGAAGTAACTTGCAGTTTGATTATAATGATTTCATTTGGGATTAGCATGGAGAGATTTATCTTCTCTGAGTCTACATGATGCAAACAGCAGATGCAAATTGATCTGTCAGCTGCAAGCGCTCACCTCCAACACTGGGAATGACCTTTGATTCCTACTTACTGGGGGGGATACACAAACACCAGCTACAAACAGCAGCTGTGACGCACGTGGCTGCTCATCAGAGCGCTGTGCGTCAGACCTGCTTTGTGAAGTCTCCGAAGGGAGGAAGGCAGAAGTACTTTTATCCTGGGCTGGCTTAGCTGACTTTTCCCTCTCTGAAGACTGATCTGATGAGGACGTGCAGAAGCATGAGGGGTGCTGCATGTGGCACCTCTGTGGAGCTTCTTCTTTTCACACTGTGCCCAGCGTTTATGTGGAAGAGTGAGGCTGTGGAGAGGCCTTTAATTCCCCCTTCTTTCAGTGATTAAAAATAGATCACTTACTTCAGCTCTGAGGAAGATGACTTGAAACCGGACAGTCCACTTCAGGGAGGACTCCTCATCTTTGAATAGCTACTTCCTGCACAATGCCTGCAGCTTTGAGCCCTGGCTGCATTCAAAACCAGGTTAAGGCTCCTTTTTTTGCTTTTAACCAGGCTGTAACTAAACAGTGTTAAGATGTAAAACACCCAGTTATTTTAAAAACTCCAAACAGACAACCTTGTCCTCTCAGTGTCAGCCACAGACTCCTTCCAGAGCACTGCTTAATCTTTTTGAGGCTCCAAACATTTCACCACACCCTTCTTGCAAACCCTAATGGCATTAAGGAGTTGCTGGAGTTATCCTCAGCATTCTCCTCTCTTGCAGGCACCTACTTCTGCCTTAACGAGGACACAGCCCATCCTTTACTGGCGATTCTAGATGATGGATTTACAATTGCATGCGATGAACTGGAAAACCCAGAGTGTGATCTGCCTGTCTATGATAACAGCTTTACAAGGTATAGAGAAGAATTTCAGTTGCAACTAATGCATGTGGTTTCTGGCTGCTTGGCCCACAACACACCCCTGCCTTGAATTTAAATCCACTGAAAGGGTTTCCTGGTATTGCAGCTCTCCTCACCTTCAAGCCAGGCACCGAACAAGTAGAACTTCCAGACTGTATGTCTGTGTAACATATAGTGGGGTTTTTTTCTATCTTGGTTTCTGCATAAGTGACTATGGTTGTCTTCAGTTTTGGACAACTGCAAACATCTTTGTTGGTCCTTTTAAAATATGGATTACTTGTCTTTTAGAAAATCAGATTTATTTTAAGGTATTTCAGGTTGAGCTCCTAAGAGAACTATTCAGTTTGAAATGATAGGCTTTCCCCGTAGTTCCTTAGAAAGTAAAACTCTCTATGCATTTGTCCAGGGCCCACAGTTTCACTGGGGTTATTGTTCCTGAGCACCATTACTGAAATCCCTGTGGCTTGCTACTCTTTTCTAAGAATTTCTAGGGTGACTAATATATATTATCTACAACATTTCCCTTTGCATGAAGTGTGCGCTGATTTACATTAAATTCCAAAACTCTCTTCCCATTTAATTCTTTACAGAGCTCCAAAACCCCAGAAAAATGTTGCAAGAAAAAAAAAAAAATCAAACCCCATATACTCTTAATACAGCACTAGTGGGATTTTTTTTTTTTTTTAAGGGCATAGTTATTAGGGTGTTTTTAAATTCCAGTGATCCAGCAGTGGCACACTGCCAAGACTTGAGGAGCTGCTCCTCTCTGCTGGCTGTTGCCCTCTCTCTTGCCCCTACCTCTGCAAGCTGCCAAGGTGAGAAAGCCTCGTGCATAATGTGCAGGGGGCTCTGCCCATCCTTCCTTGCTCTCGGTTTCACACGTGATTTGGGGGCTGTTTTTATATAGCTCTGTCCAGTGGAAACCACTCATCTTAAATAAAACTTGTTCACTACGCCAAGTACTACGGAATAGACAAAAAAACCCCTATTGGTGCTTTGGGGACCTGACCCTCTTCTTTGAAAGAGGTTTGTGTAGTTCAAAGCACAGTTGGTCTGTTTGTTTTGTTGGTTTTTGTGTTTTGTTTTGTTTTTTTAAATAGATGCCAGGAAGTGTCTTGTGGGGCTTTCAGCAGCTCTCATTGATTTTGTGAGTTTAAAGCTCTCTAGCTGCTCTTTGGCACTTAATCATCACTTGGAAGTTAATGCAAGTTCATGAAGAGGATTACAGATGCAGCCAGCCACAATTACATACAAACCTGCTTACACACGTTGGGCACCTTGAGCTAAACTTGAACAGGTATTTAAGTGCCAAAGCAAATGGTAAGGGAAGGAGAGGGATCTGCATACTTACATTTTGCTGAAAGATCTATCTGATACTAGATCTGAACTACTACTGTTTGGGCCTACAGATCTTACTTTCAAAACATAATTAGGCCCTTTGCCATTGAAATGAGAGACTCAGCTTGACAAAATGCCCATTTTCAGTCAGAACCACAGAAACAACATATAGCCAGGACAGGTATCTGCAAACACAGAATAATACAAGCCCACAACTTAGTCCCTCTTTGGAAATGCAATGTTAGTGGAGGGCTTGGTAGAAAAGAGCCAGGAGATAGAAAATTCTCTTCATTAAGTCATCATGATAAGCCTAAATGGGATTTCATCCCACTTCCACAGGATGCTTTTATGTTTCACATAAACAGCCAGAGCTGGCACTCATCTCATTCTGAACTCTGAGGCTGATTTTTTGATGCCACTGTGAACTCTCAGAAGCCTCTTTCATGCCAAGATACTGTGGAGGAAAAAAACCAAAAGCTCCCAAGCTGAAATGACTAACACTCATGCTACAAGGAAATTACTCTGCAAACTCTTCTTTGTGAAGTTTGTGTGATCTCCGGAAGGCTAATGTGTTTCCTAACCACAGCAGCTCCTACAATCTGACTCAGGTTTGCCTTGGTGGCCTTGCAACTATGGTAATATTTTGTTCACAGATCTTTACCCATCCATTTTGCATCATTCCTTTTCCTTCTGAAGCTGTAGCAGCACAGCCTCTCTGAGTCCCAGTTTCAGCAGCCTTTAAACTATTCCCAAGACATCTACGTGCACTTGTAATGAACTGTACACTTGCTTTAAGCGATTGCTGCAGAGGTGGTACAGCTGTCTTGCTGTGGGTGCCCGTCCTTACACATCAGGCTCTCCAAATGCTGAGTGCAGCTCCTTCTCAGCATTACCTAGAGATAGATGAGCTCAGTGTCTGCCAGCAAAATCCTTTGCCTTTGTAATTTACAACTTTAGACAACACTACCACAGAAACATACAGGTTGTGTGTCACTCCCCATCCAAAACTGAAGGTGTGTTCTGAAACCTGTCATCCTCTGTGATGCAGCAGTGACAGCTAATACACCGTGTACTTTTCCTGAGGAAAAGCTGGGGTATAGTTTTACAAAATTCAAGCTGCCTTCTTTAAATCTAGTTAGGGTGTTTCAGAAGCATTTGACATGGGTTATTTTGCCCAACTTTCTTGCTTCAGAACCCGTGTTTTTTGCAGACTTGCATCTTTGAAGCATCCAGCTCTTTTAACTCTGAAGGTGTGTCTGTAAATCAAGCTGAAGGGTCTTTCTGTGGTATATTGTCTTTGTCTGTCTCTCCTGCACATCTTTTTCGAGAGTCATCTTCTACATGGCTCCTATCATAAAGGCTAGGAACCTCAGTCTACTGTTAAACCTTTTAATGGCCCAAGTACCCAATCATATTCCAAGCTCTCCTACCATCTTCAACTCTTGCTGGTCTATCCAAACACACAGCATAAGCAGGTCTCCTCCTCCCCAAGTGCCCCAGGAATTTCATGCTATTACAGTACTCCATTCCTGATTGAGTGACATTTAAAGTCCTTCCCAAACAGGGAAGACATTTTCTTCCCTGTTTGGGAAGAAAATACAAAATCTGTAGCCTTTTTACCATCCAGGATTGGGTTTCACCAGAGCATTCTCTTTTCTAGCAAGTAATAACTTTCCCAGAAAACCCAGGCAGCACAAGATGCTGTTCTTCCTATTCCTGAAAGTGCCCAGGGCACTCATTTATACAAGGTAACCACGGGGAAAACCAGGGTAGGTGTCACAAAGAAACCTGCAGGTTCTGTGTCGGGTCCTCAGCACGTGGACTTCCCTGTAGTCAAAAATCCATGCTGCACTGCTAAGGAGACAGCAAGAGTGGCTTTTGTTTATTGATATGTAATGTCCAGGTACATTACATACCAAAGTATTTTAATCAGTGTTGCAGAGAGTCCCTGCCAAAGCACATATTCCTGCCTGTCTCCACAGATGCATTGGGATCCTGGGCAGTCTGATCCCATTTCCAGGAAAGCATTACTGGGAGGTGGAAGTTGAAGAAGATACAGAGTACAGGATCGGCGTGGCTTTTGAAAACACTCCGAGACATGGTTATCTGGGGGCAAACAACTCATCCTGGTGCATGAGGCATATCATCACACCATCCAGGTAAGGGCTGTGGAGGCTACAGTCTCCTTTATGAACACCTCCTACGTGTGCACCTGCAGGCAGAGCAGCAGAGAGCTCCTGCTTGCAGGGTGCAGCCAGAGATTTTATATCAAAGCCCAGGCCAAGCACTTAACCAGGGGCCTCTGACATTCCACTGCTGGCATTGTGAACTGGTGTTCATAGAATGTTAAAGGTGTTATTGGAACCTTTAACCAAAACCTCATTCTTACTGGCATTCTCACATTGAAATATGCAGTCCCAGGAACAAATCTGAATAAAATCTGCATTACAGAACTTAGCTGTAAGGCCTTGTTTTAGGTAACTGAAACCCCAGTGGGAAGACACGAGAGTAATAGATCCATGCGACCTAGAAACTACGTATCTGGCTGAACCCAGTTGTATGCAACTGGTTTTGATCTCTCTCCTACCTATAGCAGTACCTAACAGCCACACCTGCATGCAGAAATGCCAGCTCCTCTCATGCCTCAGCCGAACTGCTGGCTCTCCCCCAGACACCATTATACTAACATCATTGCCTTTGACTCCCTTGTGAGCTTTGGGCATGCTGTGAAGCATTCAGGAGCAAGAAAACAAGTCACACCCCCAGGCATCCTTGAGTAGTGCCTGCTGCCTGTCTGAACGGCCCCCCCCTCAGCCTGCAAGGGCTGCCAGGGTGCTGCTGGGTCCCCTTGAACAGGGAGCCTGGACACCACCTGATGCACAGTCAGCAAATGGTAAGGATGGCATAATACTGGCGCAAATCTGCCCGTCCTCTGCCTGCTGGTGCACAGGGAGTGGTTTTAGATGCAGCTCAGTTAGCTGGAGCACACACTCTTCCCCGGGTGCCTGCTGCTCTTGGCTCCCCAGCAGTTGGCCTGCTGCATAGCTGGAGGCTTTAGCAGTGCTGGCATTCGCCTCCCACACAGCAAGAAACACTGCTTAACGAGGGAGACCAAACCAACTAAAGCTAATGACTCTCCCATACACTGCAGGCAGGCTAATTTGATTTCCTTGCTATGTTGAGCTAAGAGGTACATTGCGGTTTGTTCTCATTCTTCTGGAGCAATGAGCATGGACTTCAGAGAGAAAAGGGAGCTGGGCCATCACTCAGCTTGAGTCACTGTCATACCCATTTCTCCAGGGAAATTTTCTCAGGTTTGAGTGGTGTGGGTGGAGGAGGTGGTTAGTGAAGAAGCTGGCCCTTAGGAAATGCCAGATAACTCACTTCAGCTGAATAAATCTTCTCATTTCTGCTCAGAAAGGCACATGTTCCCATAAAAGTCTCATATTTTTGGTTGCAGCGTGCCACACTAGGGAGAGCCGTTTGAGTAACTGTTAAAGGACCTCAGCATTACTTGAAGTGACTAAGTAGGGAAGAAGAGGGCTACACTCATGACAAAGCTGCTTATGTACAGAGCACCTTCCTGGCCTACAATAATCCACAGTCCAGGAATCACAATAAAAAGACATCACCCTCTAGTAAATGAGCATGAAGACTGGAACTTCCCCATCAACACTCTTGGCTGAGCAGGCAGGTCTTGTAGGAAAAGCAGAAACATCATGTAGAGAGTGGGGTTTGCAAAATGATGTCCATAGTCTGGAGGATGCCTCGCCACGCTGAGTCAGGCAGCCTCTGCCCAAGGGATTACGCTCCCTCTGCTGCTGTTGTGAAGGTGGGTGTGAGCAGTTCCCCTGACTTTGGCAGGGAAGAGCACTCAGTGCCACAGGCCCCCAGGGAGGACGTGGGCAGCGTGGCAGAGCTTGGAAAGATGGGACTGAGTCATCTGACCAACCCCCTCCTTGGCGCTGCCTACATCTCTCTAGGGGCAAGGCTGAGGGGATGACAAGTGTTGCTCTGGGACAAGCCTTACTGGCCTAACAGAGTACAGCTCCTTCACTGAGGAAGGGACAACTTCAGGCTAAACCTAGTGGCAAGAGTGCACCCTCCAATTTACAGCACACCCACGCTGCCCTCTGAGACACAGAAACAAATGTCATGCTCTGACCTTGTCCATACCCAAGGGCTGCCACCCATCCCTTTGCAGGCAGCCTGGGATGTGAACACGAGGCCTGTTACAGGGGTCAGCAGGTCTGAGCACCGCGGGGTAAGGCTGCGTGGAAGCGCAGAGCACAGCACTCCTCTCCTGGGCAAACACAACCCTTGGGACGGGACTGTGAAGCAGGAAGCGTACCCTGGAACACAGCCCAGCGCACAAAGCGCTCCCCTCAGAGAGCAGCTAGGCTGCCCTCAGGTTTTTTGACTGTTTCTTGCCTACAGGCACAAGTACGAATTCCTGCACAGCGGGATGACACCAGACATCAGAATTACTGTCCCCCCGAGAAGGATTGGCATCCTGCTGGACTACGAGAACTGCAGACTGTCATTTTTCAACGCAGATATTGCCCAGCACCTCTACGCGTTCAACTCACACTTCCAGCATTACGTCCACCCCTGCTTTGCTTTGGAAACGCCTGGTATCCTACGGATACACACTGGGATTGTGATACCCCCATGGGCTGCCCTCCTGTAACATCTACATGTGCCCTGCAGTGAGCAGTGCCCTCTTTCAGCATTAACTGCACCATCACGCTCCCTATAAACCAGCTCGCTCCCAAGAGAGAGAGCAAAGCAGCTGCCAGGCCTGAGCCCTTACGACAGTTTCTGTCCTCTTAGGCAGGACCTTAGCAGCAAACCATAATGATAACAAGATCCATCAGCATCCCAGAATTCTCCAGTTAGAAATGGATACCATCCTTCTCAAAGGTGACAGTCACCAAGCAACAGTGGCAGCTGATCACTGGTTCCCCCAGTACCCATTTGATGCCTAGGGAACTTCCCTGTTCCAGAGCAGTCATTAATTCCACTCATGTGTCTGCTGAAGAGCTAAAAATTCAAAGAAAAACAAAAATAGTAAAAGGCATGACTGTACAGCTGCTAGACAGGGCTGAAAACACTCCAACCATGAAGCTGATCTCACAATCAAGTATTCTTGTCTCTACATGAAGTCTGTGACACAAGATAATCAAATACGCCTCCCTCGTGTGTGAACTGTTAGCGCCCACCGTACGCAGTGCGGCTTTTTGAAATACCCAAGCATGCACTACAGCCCCAATTAAAAGACGTTTTTACAGAATGCTCATGCTTCTCATTCACTCATCCAGGGAAAAAGCAAAAAACAAAGTGAGGGCTTTCGCAGTGCTTGATGCCCCTACAGAGAAATCTAAAGCTCCATTTTTAGCTGGTTCTTTTCGGCCACGCTCACCTCCCCCAGGGTACGTCCTCCGCACTCACAGATCCGTTCTCCCCCTCAGCACTGGAGACTTCCCACCCCTGCTGCTGCTGCTGAAGCTTTGGGTGTCCGGTGGGGGCTGGGAGTACTGTGGCCCAGCACACAGCTGTAATGTCCTTGTTTAAGCTTCATTTCCAGACACCAGGCAATCAGAGAGGCGCTGCCTGCCAAGCGGGCTTGTCTAGCTCTGAACAGCCTCATCTGTGTGTGTCAAAACTACCCAAATTCAATCAGGAGTCATTAACAGAGCAGCTTTTCCACAGATTTATTGCACATTCATTACAGAAATCATCGGTTCAAGTTTCCATTCTAGGGGATAGGCAGGAAGAGGCAGTGGCCTCTACAACATACAGGGCCCCTACAAATAAACAAAGCCTGGCAAAACCAAAGAGATTTGGTGTAGAACAGTGTGCCAAAGCTTGTCTTCTTCCCCAAAGAGCTTAAAACACATCTCCCCAAAACAGGCTTTGCAGAAACCATAAAAACAGGAGCCGAGTGTGTCATTATAGCAGCGATTTGTACCATCTTCTCTTGGATCCCTGTTTGTTTGGCAAGCCTCAAAGGAAGATGGGTTTAGCAACACTGAGCTAAGTAGTGTTGTGTCTCAGCCCACCAGGAATTCAGAGATTTCCAGGGCAGAAAGGGTTGTTATGGTCACTCTGTCAGACCTCCTGTAAGGCAGGCCAGAGACTTCCAGTTCCTGTGTCTTGCAGTGGTGGACAACAACTTGTGTCCACCAGGAACAGGTGACTCGGAGAGCAACCACTGCCAATGCAGAGCACAGGAAGTGTCCAGGTGAGCCCTGCCAACATGGCAAGGCCACACCAGAGAGCAGCAGCTAAAGGGTACGACTCCTCTGCCAGGGAAGGAAGTGGTGAGATAGCACCACCCAAGTTGGTTTAACTTTTTTTTTTCCTTTGTTTAAAAATGTATGCCTTGATTCAGAGTCCAACTTCCAGCCACTGTTCTACCTTTATCTGCCAAAAATCAAGAGCCACACTCTTCAAGTAGATATCTGAAAGAGTAAAACATGGAAGTATCAGAGCAAGTATGAGGATGTCTGAACCCCCCAACCAAGCCTTTAATGCAGAAAGACTGTGGGTGAACCCAACAGTTCTGATGAAAGCAGATGTCCTGCTGTGAACAGTCCCACCACTCCCCACCAACAGTGTTTAAACCATACCTGTATCCTGGCGCCAGGGTTAGCTGTTCACCCAATCCAAAATGGTTTTCAACTGTTTAACTGCCCTGGGAGTCCCGGGGACTTCACTACTCTCTCGCAGGACTGCTGCAAGGACAAACTTTCTGAGCCAAATGTGAAGCGCTCGGACATCCTTGGAGTGAGACTCTACAGGTACCAAACAGCTCCATTGTTATGTTGCCAACCTGATGAATCTGTTGGTGAACGCAGACCTGACGGCTGAGTATGGAGCAGGCTGCTCAGCAGAATGTGACTCAGTGGTCGTCCCAGGCATGGTACAGGACAGCCAAGGCAGCAACAAAAATATCTGAAATGACATTGCATGTTTCTGTTTAATAAAAGCTTCACCTGTCAGCAATAACCCGAGTATTTCCTCCCTTAGGAATCCCAACCCTGTCACTTAAATATATATACAGCCAAGGAAAAGGCATGAACCACCCCAATTTTTAAAAACCAGCTGTCACTGTGAATTACCCTTACATAAATCCTTTATGGGGAGGCCAGCACGTCCACTACAGGGTCTACTGATCAGACCAGCAGGGCACCCACCCTGGAACTTCACATCAACCTTGTCTTTCTGAACAAGTCCACCAGACAGGACAAGTGCAGAGCATCTGTAAGGCGGTGAGTAGGGGACAAACCCTGTACAGAACTGGCAGCTGTACCCAACAGTAAAGGG